AACTTATATGTCGCCCACTCTACCCAAAGGTCTCTGGGCGGCTTACAACAATTAAAATTCAATTAAAATACAATAAAAGATAAAATTATTAAAATACAATTAAAATTGCCATAAGGACCCACCGTTGATGTTATTTCAATTAAAAGCCTTCTGGAACAAGAGTTGGCCCACTGAATCAATGGGGATTTAGTGAGTCAACTATGAGCTCCTATGGATTCAAATAGGCCTACTTTAACTGCAGTTTACTTTGCTAAAGTAAGTTGCACTTACGGCTAGTTCAATCAATGGATCTTAAAGAGGAGTTGACTCATCAAATCCCTTTTGATTCATTGCACCTACTCTAGTATGATTTACTGTACTAAGCAACAAGATTTTGGCTAATCAAAACTACTTTTTAATAACACTTAAGTACGTTGGCTCTATGGCTTGGAAACGGGGATGAGCACCGCCCCTAGAGTCGAACACGACTAGACAAAAATTGTCAAGGGGAACCTTTACCTTTACCTTACTAAACAGGGAATACTAGATAGGTAATTATACAGGGCACAATATTCTTTTTAGAATGATATATATAACAGTTGTGAATGTAACTACACTAGCAATAATACATCTATCTTCATATACCCATTACGGGACAGTTTCTTGGGTCTTTCCTTTTTAAAAAGTCAAGATCACACTAAGGCTGTGTTGCTTCTCATATAAGGATGCAAAATAAACTAATGAATAGACTTACATAAATCATTCAACTTTTCTACATTTTTACTGCACTCTCTGTTCTGCAAACAAATAAACATCTGACAGCCACTGCAGCCAGAAAGAGTGAAAGTTAGAACGTGTCCCAGACTACCAGTTACAAAATAAATATACTTATGGCCCAGTGGCAAGGAAAAGCCTTGCACATCCACCCAGAGGTGAGGTGTGACAGGCACAATGCACAGTTCCCACAGAACAGCCCAACCTGACTCATAATCGGGTCTTGTCACACAGAAGAGAGTACTAATGTCTACTAATACCTACTATGCACCAGATGACGAAAGACATTTCAAACTTGTGAGGAAAGCTGAAAATGGACAGACCGAGAAAGGCAAAAACACACGTTTCTGAAAGAGAGAAAATAGGGGTATACAGTCAATTCATACTCGGTGGGACAATTCAAAACTACACACAAAACACTTTTGTAGTGCAGTGAACCCAACACTGGACTTATTTGTCAAATCAAACCGCTTAAGGAAGTGTTTGATATGTATACAGCTGCATAAATGAACACACAGTCAGAACGGTGTGGAGACAAAGAAGAGTGATATATTTCCTCCTTCTTCCTAACAGAGAAAAGGGACAGAGGAAGGGGAAAAATCGAATTCTGCTTTTTTTCCCCCCACACAGCTTTCTGCGTTTTTTTTCCCTAGTGGTTCTGGGGGGAAAACTGATAGAAGGAAGAGCTATACCCCCTCATGTTTTTTGTGTTTTTTTGTAAGGGGGAGCACATTTATGACCAACAAAAACATTTTAAACCCCTTTATTTTAGCTGCTATTATAGTGGAGATCATGGTGTCAAAGCATCAGGGCATTTTAGGGACAAAGGAAAGCTATTCTAAATCAGATAATTAGACTATTTAGCCTGGTGCTGCCAACTCAAGGGAAGCCGCCTAGAGTGGTCATATTGACCAGATAGGCGGGGTATAAATGAAATAAATAAATAAATAAATAAATAAACTGACCAGTACCAATGGTTTTTCAGTGTTTCAGGCAGGATTCTTTCCTAGACCTACCAACGCATACTGGGGACTGAGTCTGGGATCTTCTGCATGCAAAAGCATGTGCCTCATCACTGAGCTTTGACACTTATGTGCACACCCGCGGATGCACACAATATGGATTAACAGGACAGTACAATTATCCGTTATTCCACAGAGAGTTCCCTCAGTCCCCTGCTGACATTGAGATAAAGTACAGTGGTGCCTCGCATTATGATGTTAATTCGTTCCAGCGAAATCGCTGTAGAACGAAAACATCATAAAGCGATTTTTAAAAGCCCATAGGAATGCATTAAAACCCGATTAATGTGTTCCTATGGGCTTGAAACTCACCGTCCAGTGAAGATCCTCCATAGCGCGGCCATTTTCGGTGCCCGTGCAGCGAGGAATCCGTCCCAGAAAACAGCGGGCGGCCATTTTTTTACCCGGCGGCCATTTTGAAACCGCCAATCAGCTGTGCGAAAATCTTCATTTTGCAATGATCGGTTAGCGAAGCAGGTAACCGATCATCGCAAAGCGAAAAAAACCCATAGGAAACATCGTTTTGCGATCGTCTTGCGAGGCACCAATGTATTTTTATCTATGTTAGAAAAGGTGGCTGGATTGAAAAAGATAGGAAACATCGTTTTGCGATCGCAAAAACTTCTTTATGCGATTTCTTCATTAAACGAAGCGCTCGTCTTGCGAGGCACCACTGTATTTTTACCTATATTAGAAAAGGTGGCTGGAAAATATTGAAAAAGCCAACTTATGTTATTAAGAGACAATCACTTTGCCTTTCCCACACAATCATACTCTGCATGCAGGGGTGAGAGGTAGTTCCTACATCCCTCTACAGCCCTCCCGGTCTATCCCTCTTAGAAAATTTGGGGCTACCTCATGGAATCAGCAAGTGTGCATGTCTTTTTCTGTCCTTTGATGTGAACAGAACAGTTTCTGCATGCATTTGTATGTCCTGTGCATTTGCCGAGTTGACTTCTATAAGAGGAGCTTGTCTTTTCTGCTTGAGTTCTCTACCACATTTTTAAGCCAATCATCACATGTATGTATAGGCTACTTATATGGAAACTGACTAGACATAATAGGAAGGGACCTTATTATACACTGTTCTTGTACACAATATGTAAGGATAAAGAAATATTTCTCCGTTCTTTTAATTGTTAAATAAATAATTGTTGGATGCACTCATTCACTCTCCCTTAAGTTCAGGCAACCAGTTTAATAAGATTATCAGAAAACCAAACACATAAGACAACTATTGTTAACAAACCCTGTCTCCCCAAAAATAAAACCTAACCTGAATATAAGCGCTAGTATGATATTTCAAGATGCTTGTAATATAAGCCCTAACCCCAAAATAAGCCCCAGTTAAGTGAAACCCTGCCCTCCACCATTGTGCAGCAACCAGAAGATGACATGGCTGTAAAATAAAATATCCCCTGAAAATAAGCCCTAATGTGTTTTTAAGAGCAAAAATTAATATAAGACCCTATCTTATTTTCGGGGAAACACGGTATTTAAAAAAACACAATAAAGGCACACAGCAGAACAAAACTGCAGAACAAAGTTCTGCTACTTGTTAGGTTACTTCTTAATAAACAATGTACAGTGGTGCCTCACATTACAACGTTAATTCGTTCCAGCGAAATCGCTGTAGAATGAAAATGTCATAATGCGAAATAAAAAAGCCCATAGAAACACATTAAAACCCGATTAATGCATTCCTATGAGCTTGAAACTCACCGTCCAGCGAAGATCCTCCAGAGCATGGCCATTTTTGCTGCCCGTGCGCGAGGTAGGAATCCGTCCCAGAAAAGAGCGGGGAGCGATATTTTTACCTGGCGGCCATTTTGAAACCGCCGAGCAGCTGGCCGAAAATCGTCGTTTTGCGAGAATCGATTCCCGAAGCAGGGAACCGATCATCGCAAAGTGACAAAATACAATTTTAAAACATCGGGGAAAAAACCCCATTTAAAACATCGTAAAGCTATCGATTTTGCGACCACAAAAAGTTCGTTGTTATGCGATTTCGTCGTTAAACGGGGCGCTCGTCTTGCGAGGCACTACTGTATCTATTCTGTCTGCAGTCTCGTCTTGCGAGGCACCACTGTATCTATTCTGTCTGCAGCGCAGTAATCAGACTGACTGTGTCTGGAAAGCTCTTGAACCAAATGATTCGGTAAACTATCTATTCTACTTTATGCAAGCTTTGTAGCTGGACTGCATGAAAATTAGGGCTGCAATGCACAACCCATGCACTACAAAGTCGCAGCATTAGTTTTCATAGGATAGTTCTATAGTTCCTACTTTTCAGCTCCCAATCTAATAGCACAATACTAGTCTTGTCTAGTAAATCCCACTGATTTCATTGAGACTTACGGTATTCCAATGCAGAATGGCAGCCTTGTGTACATTTACTAATTCTAACCTGCTAAATGGCTCAGATTTAAGGTCTCACAAGAAGATAGTGAAAGTTGCTCCAAGTTACCTAGGAGCCTACGATGCCTTAAATTGATTGGTCCCATGATCCAAGCTAGGCACGAGTACTGAACAGTCTAATTAACAAAATATAATACACAGGTTGCTGTCCTCTGAAGATGCTGGCCACAGAGACTGGCGAAACGTTAGGAAGAGCAACCTTCAGAACACGGCTAAAGAGCCCGAAAAACCCACAACAACCATTAGATCCCGGCCGTGAAAGCCTTCGCGAATATATAAAATATAATACTATTCTTCAGCCTCGCTATGCGGGGCACCACTGTACTATTCTTCAAAAGTAGGCAATAAGAAGAAATCTGGATATTTTGCTTTAAGCACACGTAGGAATGTGATATGAATTAACTCAAATATTAATTTACCCATAGATATTTTAATATTTGTGTTCATAATATAATGAGTAAAAACTGGTTGCATTCATGTATTTTCAACTGTACAAATAGCTGTGCCCAAAGACTTCTGTGCAATTCAAAAGATTAAACATTTCTAACATTTGTCGGTCAAACAAAGCTTATTATATGCTCTCTCACACATCATTAGAATGCATAGCTGTGCAATGAAATTGGCAGACAGCAAATTTAAAGCAGACAAAAAACAAAGAAAAACAAATGTACTTCTTCTCACAGTTCATAACAGTGGAGGTAAGAAACCCCAGTCACTCTGTTATGGCATTCATCATCTTAAGAGTTGATGATACCTACAAATCTATATGGCTTTTTAAAAAGATGAAACCCATGCATGAAATCTAGGTCTGTCATAGGCTGTTAGGCATGACATGTGAGACCTGCGACATGTTTCACAGTAAAGTGTTTCCATTTCAGACACTCACAATACTTTTTTTAATACCACTGCTTTCCACATATTACACTGCCCTATTTCCTGGGTTTTTTTCTCTTCCCAACAAGACACGCAGCCTTTTATAGCCACTGAACAACCTGGCCTCACTGGTTTTTGTTTTTTAATTAGGGTTCCCATCCTTTGGTTTTTATCCCCCCGTGCCTTAAATTTAATTTCTAATCCTGCAGATTTTGGACATCCTCTGATTGTACTGAGACCTGCTCCTGCCCCCCACCTCACCCCAAAATCCTCCCTCATGGATACAAAGGCATTATAAGCCACTATCTGAGTTTGCTTATATTTTGGCCATAATAACTTACATGACTGAGGATGAACTATTTCTGAATACCAGATGCGAGGCACAAAGAACTGGAGAGAAGGCTGCCTAAATCATGACCTGGTTAAGGGCTAATGTGGCAAAGTAGCTAACATGTTGAATCTATCTTATTTCAGGACCCAGTGAGCTATGAAACTCACTAGGTGACTTTCGGTCACTAATGCTCTCTCAGCTTGATCCAGCTTGCAGGGGAGTCATAAATATAAAGCACAGAAAAGAGCCAAATCATTTTGCTGTAAGGTCACTGGAGAAAAAGTAGAATACAACTAGAATAAACCAGTAAAGAATCATGTACTTCTAGAAGGCATCTGAAAGGAAATAGTATACTAGAACTGTAGAACTGAAAAGAATTCCAAGTCCAACCCTCTGCTAAAGAATGAAATTTGTAGCTAAAGCATTCTGAAAGATGGGCACCTGATCTTTGGTTTTAGCAATCTAATGAAGGAGAATCTACCACTTTCCAACATAATCTATTCCACAGTCCAACAGCTCTTATAGTAAGGAAGTTCTTTGTAACGTTCAGTCAAAATCTCTTATCTTCTCATTTAAAATTCATTGTTTCCGTTCTCACCTTCTGGAATAACAAAAAAATAAGCTCACTCCATCTTCCATGTGTCAGCCCTTAAAATTTTTGAAGATGGCTATAATATGCTGGATTAGATAGTACTTTGGTACAATCCAGCAAAGGCTGATTTTACATTTTTGTGTTTTGTATCTCCTTCTGTATGGTAACAACACTGAGTCCTTTATACTATACAATAAAACTACCGGTACTTAGTATTTTTCATCTCTTTCATTGCTATTAATATTGCGTCAAGACTTTCGGTCCCCACTTAAAATGACAATGAAAATTCCATAGTGTATTCAAACCCAAAAGGCCATGTAAGAAAGAACAGGCAGCAGAGCGCATATTTAGCCACTTTATAATCTTTTATATTAGCAAGAAGCTATCCCCCCCATAGCTTCTTGTTATCTGAAAGCTTTTAATGGAGACATAGGCATGTTGCACCTTTTACATCTAAAAATAGCCTAGAGGAAGGAAGAAGTCAGACAGATCTATTTTGTTATCAATCTCGTGGCAAGTCTTAGCTAGAGCCTGGAGGATGAAGAAGAAAAAAGATTTACTGCACATTTTACCACCTCTGTCAGTAAAGGTGACTTTTGACTGCTTGGCAAACTCAGTATTAGTAACTCTATCCTTAGAAATGTGCAGAAGAGATATTCCCATGACTACAGACACATTTCTGCTTCTTTCTGCCCACAATTCACATTGCCAAATGGCTTCGAAAGGTAATTGGACAAACTCATGGAGGACAGATTTGTCAGTGGCTATTAAATATGACAGCTAAATGGCCAAGTTCAAAGACAGCAAGTAATCAAGTGCCAAACTGTAACAATAATGCCATGCCCAATCGTGTCCAAGACAGTAGACCAGATAAGAAGTAAGGAGCCTGCAGCCCTCCATATACTCCCATCAGTCTCACCCAATAGTTGGGGTCTGGGACTGCGGTTAGCCCAACAGGTTCCCCAAACCTAAACTAATTGGACTTCTGATTTGATCCTGGTGGTTGTCTTATGACAACCCAACAACATTATTATTTTATTGCCTTAATACTAAAAGCAATTCAATAAATAGGAGCACTAACACGCAACATGTTCACGCATTTGTACACAGCATTGCTCAAAAATAATCTGTTCTATATGCAAAATGTCTCTGGTAAAAAGCAGTGTATATGTTGTAATACAGATAATGGTTTTATCTGTGTTAACGGCTTGGTGGAGGTCACAAAAGAAGACAGAACAGATCCAAGAGAGCTGAGTTTAAAGCACCATGAGCTAAAGGCGCTTAGCCACGATGCTGATGGAGAGGCCTTAGGCCAAGTCACTACCAACCAGCCCCATTCATATAGTGGTGGTAGGATTTAATTCTCAACCACACTGCCCAGAACTGCCTGGAAAAGTGGCAGGATACAATAATAAGAAATAACCCTTAATAATGCAAAGATACATGTCGTCATTTGCAGTTGCTAGGTGAGGAACAATGTACTGAACACATGCACCACTCCATAAGGGGTAGCATAGGCAATCTGGATTGTCAAGAAACATTTGGAAGCCTGAAATTTAGATTATGAAAAAGAAAGATGTCACCTACCACACATGAATGCAACGGTTCTCAAAGTCTGCTGCATTAGAATCTGTGTAACTGGAGAGAGGTTATGATGGGTGTAGTGGGACATAACGATGCCAGAGAACAAAATAGCCATGATACCTGGAGAGGAAAAAGCGACAATCAGACAAAAATACTTCATACATCTACTCTATGTATATGATCTGACTAATTGTTGCTAATCACAAACTAATTCAGAAATTACCAGCAGTGCTCTGCAATAAAGGGAGTAAGAAAATAAATAAGAAAGTGATTCTGACTTGAAACTCTGATGTAGTTTTTGCATGACTCCTCTTCCATATGTAGTTTTTGCGTGACTCCTCTTCCATATGACCCTATCAGGCAGTTAAGAGCTAGCCAGGGGGCCCTTTTGAAAGAGCCATCCCTCAAGGAGGTAAGAGGGATGGCTTGTAGACAAAGGGCCTTTTTGGCAGCTGCCCCCAGACTATGGAATGCCCTCCCAACTGAAATTAGTCTGGCGCCGACATTGATGACATTTCGGCGCCAGGTCAAAACCTTCCTTTTCCAGAAGACTTTTAATTGAAATAACATCAACTGTGGGTCTTGATGGCAATTTTAATTGTATTTTAATCATTTTATCTTTTATTGTATTTTAATGGAATTTTAATTGTTGTAAGCCGCCCAGAGACCTTTGGGTAGAGTGGGCGGCATATAAGTTAAATGAATGAATGAATGAATGAATGAATGAATGAATGAATGAATATATAAATACATACATACATACATACATACATAAATACATAAATAAAATGATGTTGGCCATTTTAAACAAAATGTATGCAAGATATATTGCATAACAGGTGATCTGTCAAATTAAAGACAGTCCACCAACCACATACTATGATTTGGCAGGTGGGTGCTTTTTAATTTTCAGTGCAATGAGCTACTGAGTTTAAAAATGACTGCAGAAATAGATTGCTTCTTCAAGATGTGGTAGGAATATCATATGAAGCTTAGCAGTTCAAGTTTTCACTGGAATGCCAGTCACCACCTGAAAATGCTCCAAGAACCTTAGACCACAATTTTAAATCCATCATAAGGAGTACATTGATTCAAATACTCTGTACATTTTCTTTACATTCTATTATTCATCTCAAGGTAAAGGAAGAGGCCTGAATCATTTAGCACTGGCATCACTGCACACTGCATCTATGAAAGTGTCCTCACCCATAACATGTGCCTAAAATCTACCCAGGGTGGATCTGCCAAGGCCCGTGGATATTAATTCAGACATGCATTTTCTTGTACAAAGAAAATGAAAGCCTTCTTGTGCAATATTATATCCAGACAAGACTAGAGACACAGAAAAGGAAGACGTGGCCTGCCTCTACAGAATCAGAACACACTGATCTGATAGTAGCTGACAGACACAGTAATTCTCAAAGTTGCCATAATCCCTTGGCTGATTTCTTTTTAAAATGCTCCGTTATATAATAACTCTATTTGTCTAATGTAATTCCTAACACTCCATCAAGTGTTTATTAAATTAGAAAATGAGCTGCAAATTCTTATTATTAATAGTTCTACAGATTTCATCTGGGACGTGACTGCTCCAAAAGAGCTGGAACTGGATCCTCAGAGGTTCTTTCAGGACCAGAGAAGAGCTTTTAAATTCTAATGTACATATTCAAATACATAAATGTTACCATCCGGTCTGGAATGCAACTGTCAAAAGAGCTGCTTTCAGTACAAGATTGCCAAGATGCAAAAGTGATTAGATTCACTGTACAGCTGTTATCAGTTGCCCCCTGAAATCTCTTAAGGAAGTATAAATGAACTACAAAAAAAGGGGAGGAAACAAGTACCCTGTCAAAAAAGGCAGATCTTGAGTTCAGATATCTGAGGTAAACTGAAGGCATATTTAGTTAAAATAAGTGCATATATGTGACAAATGGTAATGATCATGTGCCATCAAATCAATTCTGACTTATGGCAACCCTTGTGAGCATTTTCCAAGTAGAGATTACTGAGAAGTGATTGACCATTCCCTTATTCTGATGAGGCAGAGGGAATTTTTCCTAAACAGCTGCAGAAGAATGCTTCAATTCCTAAGGGCTGAAATCATCACTGTTTGACTGGAAACTTTCAACTTTTACCCTCAAATGATTTTATTTCTATTAAATAGGTAGGGAGAGAGGGAGAGACACTAAAGTGTGTGTGTGTGTGTGTGTGTGTGCGTGCGTGCGTGCGTGCGTGTGTAAAAGTTAAATATGCATATGTGTATATACACACACATATACATAAACTTCAAGCAGCATGGATAATCCTTATATACTAAGTAATATATTCAAATTTTGTGGTGAAAGAACTTGCATTTACTTATTCACATTAATGCATCACCCTAAAAAGATAGATGCAGATAAAATTAGTGGCAAAAACAAGGGACTCTGTCCTTTAATCCATTATACTAGACCCTGAAAAGAGGTGGGTTCTCAAGATCCACTGGCTTCTTTTACATCTCTGGGAAAAAGTTGCTGGTTGTGACTATGAGGCAGGCTTCGGTGCTTTGAAACGACCAGAGCCTCCTTTTCTTTTCTTTTTTCTTCCTATCAATGTGCCCAACTTCCACCACAAAAAAAAAATCTCCCTGTGAGAAAAGTACAATTCAACATGTGTGCTTGGAATGCTGGATAGAGACTTCTGAGATTTAGGTTTCTAAGCCATGAAGAAACTCCCACAGCCTGACCTAGCCTCACAGGAATGTTGTTGTGACAACAACATGGGAAAGTCTAGTCACAGATATTGCCTTACTAGAGGAAAGGTGATATATGTATCTGGCTAATCAATTAATTGAGCATGGCACTGACTGTATATGTGATATTTCAGATACCACTGAAATCCTATTGGCAGAGATGCACTGTGCATCAAGAATGACATCAGCCACTGTCATGCTGTGATCATTTTTTAAGGACACTAAAAAATTTCCTAGGGGTCTCTCTCCAGCCTTTGGGAGAGCTCCCAAAGGTTACCCCTGGCGATCCCCTTTATCTTGGAGCAGCCTTTGGGAGCCACAGAATGGGAGGCAGAATGCTTTAAAGCTAGAAAATCATTGCCACGAGGACTAGCAGCACCAGTTTTCCAGCTTGACCTAGGATGAAAAGGATCCCTCAGGATGATCAAAATCAGGGTGTGGAATCTATAAAGCTTTTTATTGCTCCAAAATGGCTGCAGCACAGCCATGGACGACAACGTCATCCTCATTGCATGGTTTAAAGTTGTGCAACATGATTTCAGTCATCATTTCCTATCTCAATCGGGCTGAAGGGGTTCTAGACCATCATGGGTGCAAATAAAGCCAATTATATGTGGCTTTGTTCCTCAAGTAGTCGTGACCCCTGTGGTTCTCCAAGTACAGCTGGACTGCAACTCCCATTAGGCCTATATTGCTAGGGTTGATAGAAATTGTGGACTTACATCTGGAAGGCCACACTTGCTCATTGCTGACTAGCAACAATGGAAATGGAAAAAGTAGTGTATTAAAAAGAAACATTCATTTAACCCTATTGCCCAATTTCCTCCCTAGAAATGAATGCATGAATGAATGAATGAATGAATGAATGAATGAATGAATGAATGAATGAATAAATAAATAAATAAGGCCAAGCAGTTTCCAAGAGCTTTATAAGGCCATTTCAGTTGGAATATCAAACCATGGAGAGTAAATTCCCTCATTCTCCCCCTTCTAGAGGAGGTTGAGGCTTTTGTAGAACAAATCTTAAGGGAACATAAAAAGCACTACCACCATCAAAGCACGTTGTGGTGTACAATACAGAATGTTCTAGAGAGTGCAAATCTTCTCAATGTTACCAGCAACTTTCAGCTTACGCTCTTTACGGCTTACCTGAGAGAGAAATACCTTCAGCAAGTCCATATGGAAGATAAGCAAAGATAATCATCATTCCGAACTCCAGGGAGGGTGTTTTCCGTAAATCAATATGCTTCAACACGTCAATATCGAATGGTTAAGAAAAACCACAAGAAAAGCGAGAGGAAAATAAATTAACCTATCTAGAAAAGTGGTATTATCCATTGTCACTGGAACAAGACTGGAGAGTTTAGAAATGCCAGGCTAAATATCCTGCCTGTGATCCATGAGCCGTGAGCAGCTGTGCCCTTTAAGTGCATTAATTATTTTCTTCATAGTACAGAGGAGCCTTCCCCAGCATGGTACATTAGAGATGTTTTGTAATAACCTCCTTAGTTAGGCATGGCTCTTGGCCAAGGATGATAGAGTTATAAGGTTTTATGTTGAGGAAAGTTGTAATACAGTCTTTTCACATGGAACAATAGGCACTGCTATGTAATGATGCTCTGTGTTACATTACGCAACAATTTAAAAAGATATAAAGAGTAAGACAGGTTTATTCTACATACAAGCCCAATAATTATTCTTGCAATATTAACCCCAATGTTATAAAAATCTTAGCTTTACCAATAGTACTTCCCTTAGAGTCACATTAGAAAATGGCTTAGACAGTAGTCTTGTGCAGAGTTAGGCTGCTTAAACCATACCAACTTCAATTTGGTTTAGCTATCTTGCATTTGTGATATGCTGAAAGGTAGTTATCTATGATCACCTTTGAAAAGGCAACTATAAGCAATTATGGTCCTCCTCATAGTCCTTCACCCCACACTATGCTGGCTACGATTGGCAGGGTTGCTATACCGCTGTTCTAAGGGCAGCTTGCTAAAAGTGTCAAGACTGCAGATTCTCTAAAGAGGTATTTCTCAACCCATTCTAGAGAGTGAGACAGAAGGCACAAGAATTGGGAATATCCCCTATTATAAATCTAGTCCTTGCTGGTCTTAAAACATGTCTTCAAAATGCCTTAGTACAATGAAGACTGAGTTATCACTTCTGTGACGCACATAGATTTTTCTTTCTTTCTTTCTTTCTTTGGCTTGTTGGTGAGCTACTTAATAAGCTCAAACTAAGAGATCAAGCAAATGACTAAAAACACTTGCAAAGAGACATGCAGTGACAGAAATCTGTGCATCTATTTTTATAAACTATCATAAATCTGTCCCTCAATTCTCATACAGCACATTCAAAACTAAGAATGTGCAACTTATGCACTGCCTTCAAGAAATCTGGCTAGTCTTATCAAAACTCTTTGGGGCTCTCCTTCAAAGATGTTGTTTTGCCTGAGGAGGAACTTGCTGAATTTATTTCAGTTTACATTTTGCTTTATGTGATAGCTCTGGGGAAAAATCTATTTAAGGTATACATTACGTGTGACTTTCCCCATCCCAATTCTAAACCCTTGGGAAATTTAACATTTCCTTTCCATGAATATTTAGGCACATATGAGACCCATGCGTCTCCAATGTGAAAAATGGTCCCATAGATCATTCTATCCAACCCTAGTTTTGAAGAAGTCACCTGAATGCTTTTTCAAATTTTCCCATTAAATTCTAAGCATATGATAGGATTCATAATCATTTCCTAAAATTCAATCGAAACAATTTCCTTCTGGATTTAAACCCACTGCTTCTTGCTTACATCCCCAATACACGGGATTACAGTATTCTCCCTCATAAGAACTTCTGAAACATCTGAGAGAAGTATTTGACTTCTGGTAATATAAATGCCTTAAAAAAAGAGAAGAAAATCAGCTTTGATATTTCTCACACAAATCCCAGTCACAAACCTGATTGTGGTAACATATTTCTCAGGAAAAAAGGGAGTGCAACCATGAAATAAAGAATAAACATTAAAGAACTGACGAATGTTGAATTCAGTAAAAAGAATTTAACCCTTAGGAATTAACCTCTCCCATAGCAATGTAGAGGCCATATGTCAGAGGTGGGCAATCTCCAGAGGTGCTACGGCTGCATACATTCCTCACTGGACCTTGGAGAGCTTATAAATTAAAAGAGGAAAGAAACCTGAAAGAGCCATCTTTGTCAAAATTTGGGGTGTGAGAGATGGTTCTCAGACAAGTCAGTCTTTCAGGATGACAGCAAAGACACTCACAGAGACAGTAGGTTTTTTTACCAGCAATAATGTCCTGACAATCTTGTGCCCACTAGTGGCTTTTGTTTTGTTTTCAGCTTTAAATTAGTGGGGGGAGGTGCTCGGACTGGTTAGACATCACCAGGATTTGGAATACCTGGCTGTGGAGCCAGAGTTTGGGAGTTCAATTCTCCACTGTTCCTCCTGGAAGAAAAGTCAACCAGCTTAGCCTTCAGCAAACTGCACAGTCCCAGAGCACATCTCCAAGAAGCAAATGGCAAACCACATCTGAGTATGCTAGACCTAGAAAAATCCTAAGGGTTGCCATAAGATGTAATTCAATTGGCAGCACACGATTATTTTTATTAGAGGTACTGGGGTCCTCAAACCATTGCAGATATGCTCCATAGGGGGAACAAGCAGACATTTTGACCCCAAAAATTAGGCATGTCAGAGATGCTAGAGGAGTAGGAGGGTTATAGTCCGGTCTCTGGAGATGAGTAACATTTGTTCAGAATGTAGGTAAAACGCTTTATTTTACAGTATTAGCCCTCGACTGAAGAAAGTCGTGCAACAGCTGTCTTTGGCTCCCGTTTTGCTTTCTTTTAGAACCCTGGTACTAAACCCATGCTGCCAGACTTAACCCATTACAGTAGTGTGCATTCACAGAGACAAAGAAGAAGAAGCAACAGTTAGAACTGGATATAGAACAACTGATTGGTTCAAAATTGGGAAAGGAGTACGACAAGGATGTATATTGTCTCCATGCTTATTTAACTTATATGCAGAATACATCATGTGGAAGGCCGGACTGGAGGAATCCCAAACCAGAATTAAGATTGCCAGAAGAAATATCACCAACCTCAGATATGCAGATGATACCACTCTGATGGCAGAAAGTGAGGAGGAATTAAAGAACCTTGTAATGAGGGTGAAAGAGGAGAGTGCAAAAACGGTCTGAAGCTCAACATCAAAAATTCTAAGGCCTTCCCTTCCAGTTAATTCCTCTCCTCTTTCCTTTTTTCTCTCTTTATTTGATTTATTTTGTATTTTTTCCACTGCAAAATCATTTAATTAATTAATTGTTATAAATTTTTCTTGAACTTGTTATGTTTTATGTTGTAAGCCGCCTAGAGTGGTCGAAATGACTAGATAGGCGGGGGATAAATACAATAAATAATAATAATAATAATAATCAGGAACTCACAGCAGAACAAGATAACACAATAGCTTTGGGCATACTACTGATGTTACATGACAAAATGTACAGTGGCAAAGGATGGGAAATGCAATCAGTGCATCTCTAATTACAGCTCTAGTGGTTGGTCTCTTCAAATCCTTACTAGTGAAAGCTAGCTGAGTAAGTCAGAAAGGGAGTTTGACATAAAGTCATACTGAATAAGCATCAGACTCAGCCAGTTAGATATATTTCTGGTAAGGGATGTTAGTTTCAGCATTCAACTCTAAAGCCTGCAGGTTACAAAAAAAATCTAATTTGTTTACTGGATGCTTTATACATTGGAAAATCAGAGCATATGCTTACAAAGGACCCATTATTGAAAATGGAATTAATGTATTAAGACTACAAGCAAACTAGCCTGCATTATAATCCTTCATTAACATGTACGATGGGCTATTATACAGTAAGCTAGACCTTAATTAGAGGAATGAATGCATGCAACAATTTTATGCAAAGCTTAAATTGCTGCCTGCTTGTGTTGCTGCTATTAAAAAAACCAAATCAAGGAGAGGAAACAGAATGTGAACCCGAGGGCTTTATGTTTTAAAAGGATGATCTCCCTAAAAGCCTGCTTGCTTATGCATTTGCACCATTTTCTTTAAAAGCAAAGGATATTAATGCAGAAATAAGGCCAGTCAGAGTCCCCAGTGCTGCAGACCCGAAGAACATCTTCAGAAAATAACCCAGCGCCTGTAGAAAGGTTTGCCATCCACTTACATCTGATGTATGTTCTCTTGTCAAACCTTCTGCTGTGCTGGGAACAATTTTAAAAAGAAAGACAGCCGACAATGTTACACATTTGAATCATAAGACCTGCAAGCAATACTTAAAAAAAAAAACCCTCAAAACCCTACATTTCTTTGTTGAAATTCCTCTTAAAATGCTTCTCCTGTGATATAACAAGCAGAATGTCAGAAGACATTAAATCAAGTGCTGGTGCAATTCCCCAAGGGGAAACACAGCTCTGCTGAAAATAAGGAAATCTAGTCTTCCTTATGTGATGCTCTAAGCCATGGCACAAAAGAAACCAGGATGTTGCCTCCTGCAGAACAAGAAATACAGTCCTTCTAAGAACTAAAAAGATATATAACTTTTAATAATGAACACAACGGAGGGGGTCACAAAGTTGCAATATATCTTGTCTTACCAGGGAGGATAATTACAGAAAAACAAAGTACTTCTTTTTCTTATCAAGACACACAACAACACAGAAGGCATTTCTCTTGTGCCATTTTTCTTGTGCAAGAAAGAAAAGAATGGAAAGCTGAATCAGGACCCTAGGACGAATAAAAACTGGGAGAGGGATCCCTGGAAATTTTGATAAAGATTTAAACCCTATTTGTTAGGACATTTGGAGAGCATCTATGCAGTGATTCTTCTTGTGTATGTGATATCCTAATTTTGTGGATCCAGTTAATCAGTGGAACTTATATCGTTCAAGTACATGAGTCAGGAAGAGAGTGTCAGACAATTCCCTTTAAAGGAGGAAATCACATTCTGTTATAGTAATCAAGTAAAAAGAATTTATATGATGTGTTTTACAGATAGGCACAAACCTAGGTTTGAAGGTTCACGTTGGTTCATATCACAGATGCTGCATTTTCCCTTCCCCTGCCTCCCTTGCCAATGACCCCCTCACCAGCTGGCACATGTTCTCTCCTCCTCCTTTTCAGCTGTTCACCCAGTCCCCAGGAGGAGCATGGGTTTCCCTGTACTGGACCCCTTGTCTGAGTGAGCAATCAGCCAAGGGGATGAGACAGGGAAGCCTGTGCTTCCATCGTAGACTGGTCAAACAGCCGAAGAGGAGGAGGAGAGGAACGCACACTGACCAGTGAGTGTGGATCTAGCCAGGGAGTCGGGGAAGTAGTGCCGTGCATATGAACTGGCACAAACCTATGAAGTGAGGTTTGTGCCCATCTCTAGTGTGTTATGCAACTGGGACTCACACAAAAGAAAATATTTTTTTGCCTCTTCCATTGCATCTTCAGCCTGCTACATACTGGGATGAATTTCCTTGCACTTTGAGGAAAAAAGTAATTTCTTAGGTTGGAACTTGAAGAGATCAAAGTACCATCTAGACAGAATTCTCGGGATCAGCTTCTTTGGACCAATGACAAGAGCTCCATTATGTAGTGGTTAACTGCAGTACTACTGTCAAGCCTTTGCTCACAATCTAAATTCAATCCTGATGGAATGAGGTAGCCAGCTCAAGGCTGACTCACTCAGTCTTCCATCCTTCCAAGGATGGATAAAATTATGTTGTTAGTACAGTTATGTTGTAAACCTCCCAGAGAGTGCTTTATGCACTATGGGGTGGCATATAAGTCAGAACAATAACATGGACAAGATGCTCAATCTGCCTGCCTTGTTCCATGTAGGTGCAGTTCTTCCCTATCTTGGTTGATAAGATCCACCAGAAACCAATTAGCTGGTGCATTTACGAGGCGATACCTGTTGCTCTGAAACATGCAGAGGTGTGCCCTCTGCTGAAGCCACCCTGAATAAAATTAGAATTATTATTGTTATCGTTGTATGCTAATGTTTTTATTTTTTTAAATTATTCTGATATTCTGTAAGCCACCCAGAGTGGTAGAATATACCAGATGGGCGGGATATAAATAAATAAATAAATAAATAAATAAAATAAGAACTAAATTCTGCTGCAAATATGCCTTTTGGAGGCAGGTTCACTAAACAGCTTCAGAAAGCTTTTGGAGGAAACAAGTTACCTCTATACCCATTTGGGCCCAGACTAACTTTTAAGACTGAGACAGTTTTACTTTTCCTATAAATGCCTTTCCCTAGGATGAAGATAGGAAAAATGCTACTCTGTTAATCCTCTTGGATCTTCATGAAACCATTGTCTAGCAATGTAAATCTTTGCTTACTTCTTGCAAAAAAGTTAAAATGTCTTCTCTTGAGAGGACAGAATTAGAAGAGGTAGCATATTTTTGGCATGCTTCTACCTTTTATACAAAGAATATGTATTTATGCAAAGAACATAATTGTCTTTTGCTTAGGAAATCCTGTTATTTTGTCAAAATACAGTACATTTATGCAAAATACAAATTTTAGCACACACAAAACCAGACTTTTTAAAACAAAAAAGGGGAGGTTGATCATGATTATGATTCAAAAGGAGTGAATAGATTTACAGTGGTTGACTATATTTGTTCAAAAGGTTGTCCTGATGTGATGAGACACTCTTTTTCATTACAGATCAGAAAATTACTGAGTGTTCATTACACCCTGAACATTAACAACTGTATCTTACCAAGCCTGTTAAAAAATGGGAGCAGCAGGCACAATGTTATGGTGCGCGCACACACCCCATCTGCAGAGCTGATTACACAGAGTGGTACACTGTGGTACTTCTCTTCATATGCAAAGTTATAAATCTTAAGTGCCACAGAGTTCTGCTTTTTCCCCACATTGTTAGCATCTACTGAAAACTGCAGGCAAAGTCATGAGGGCTTCTGGATGCCTCGACTGGTTCCCAGGTCCAGGAACTGGGAAAGCAACTGTTCTGGATTAGGCTGAGCTCCTCAAAGGAACAGGTCCATCAGTAGACAACTGGAGCAGCAAATTATGTACAATTTTCCCATTCTCATCCTGATACTGTATGTAAGGTGTGAAGCCAGCTGGATAGAGCTTTGCCAAATAGCAGCAAGTTTTTTAAATTTGGGTGGTTTTTTTCCTATTTAAATGCACTTACTTTGTTAAGACAATTGAGACAGCATCATTGAGAATGCTTTCCCCGAAGACCAACATGTTAAGCACAGGATCCACATTAAGGGCATTAAAGATAGCAATAGTAGCGACTGGATCAACAGCGGAGATCAGCGAACCAAAGGCAAAGCTTTAAAAAAACAAAAATGAAGTATTAGTTTGGGGGGGGTCACTAGTTCATCTGCTGTAGGCATCCTTCAGTCTCGAAAGACTATGGTAGCGTGCTCTGTATGGAGGACTTGGAACAGCGTCTAGTGTGGCTGAGGAGGCCAATTCGAGAGTTACAATCTCTTCCACACTGAAGACAAACACTAGGATTGCCATAAATTGGAAGCAACCTGATGACACATTATAGTGGTGCCTCGCTTGACGATTACCTTGTTAGACAAGAAATCGCTTGACGATTAGTTTTTTGCGATCACTAAACGATGATTCAATGGGTTTTTTCCGTTTTACGATGATCAGTTACCTGCTTCATGAACCAATTTTTCACTTAATGACAATTCGCTAAACGATGATTCAATGGGGTTTTTCAGTTACCTGCTTCATGAACCGATTTTTCACTTAATGACAATCAAAAACAGCTGATTTTTGCATTTCAAAATGGCCGCCCGCTGTGCAAAATGGCTCACCACTGTGCTTTAGGATGGATTCCTCGCATTACAGGCACCAGAAAATGGCCGCCTTATGGAGGATCTTCGCTGGACACTGAGGTATTTCGCCCACTGGAACGCATTGAACCAGTTTTCAATGTATTTCAATGGGCTTTTTCGTTTCGCTTGACGAGGATTTCGCTTAACAGCGATTTGAACGGAACGAATTATCCTCGTCAAGCGAGGCACCACTGTACAACAACTCTCTCTGAACTTCACAGGGTCACCATAAGTTTGAAACAATACCATGTTGTTTTTCAGCAACATAAAAACGACTTCTACAATAAGATCATCAAGCTATAACATATTTTGAACTAAAATGGTCACCACATATGGCTTTCTTTAAACAAAAAGAATTTTAACAATAATTTTTTAAAAAATCCTATTTAAAAAATCTAAATCTAGTTTACTTTTTAAAATGTATTTTCAATCTTAGTTTGAAAACCAATGCTTTTTAAAATCCCCTTTGTTGGAAACTGTCTTATATAAAAGATAGGCAATTACACAATTATATCAAAAGCTTACCTATCAGTCATGTTTAATTTATAAATTACGTCAGCCTAGAAAAAAAGAATAAAGAAAAAAACATCTTTAGACAATTATTATTATCTCACTGAAAATTATTATTATTTCACTAGATAGACACATACCTGAGAGGGTCTCATTCTCTGGAACAAGGATTTGGTCTTTCTGAGGTCCTAATCTGACCAGACACCCTTTCCCGTCACCCTTGTTTCCTATTCTGTCATCTTCTATGTGAGTCACTCTTCCTATGCATTACAAAACCCTCTTTCTAAGGCTCAGTTACTGACAGTAAATGTTTCAGGCTAAAATATGCTGCCATCTTTGATCCTACCCTTTTGCCTTTGGTACCATTCAACACAGGAACATCAGTTCCACAAGCATCACTGAAATTGACTTCAGCCATGGGACTGAAAAAGGCTCCCCACTTTTGTTATAGAGGCCAGTACATTCTAGTATGAAAAATTGTAACATTTCCAAATCATAACACATATGTCATAAGTAACACAGTATACCAACCAAGGATATAAAAATGTGTCTATGACGATAAAAGAAACTGAACAGTTTTCAAATACATAGTCATATTCGTCAGATTCAGCATTTGTAGCCACAAAAGAAAAAGAAAGAAATCCCACAAATAAACTAAATGTATTTGATATAATCATAGAATGATATAATAATGGAGATGGAAAGGGCCTATAAAGCCATCAGTGATTATTTTCAAATCTTCTCTTGAGTTACCTTGAAAAACACAGTTGAAAAGTCTTAGGCATAGATACCATAACTGAATTAATTAACTGACCTTTTTTTAACCTCTCCTTTCCAATAAAGAAGTCCTGACAGTACCATATTACACATAATTAAAATAATTAATATTTAATGAATTGAAAGCATACTTAAACACAACTACGCAATAAAAAAGAACAGCAGCAGCTTATGTCAGTGAAATGAATTTGAATCCATTCCTACTAGTGATTAATATAAGAAATGTGGGCCAATGATATGGACTCATGCTACCATGTTTCCTCGAAAATAAGACAGGGTCTTAGATTAATTTTTGCTCCAGAAAACACATTAGGGCTTATTTTCAGGGGATGTTTTATTTTATAGTCATGTCATTTTCTGGTTGCTGCACAATGGTGGAGGGTCGGGTTTCACTTGACTAGGGCTTATTTTTGGGGTAGGCCTTATATTACGAACATCCTGAAAAATCATACTAGGGCTTATTTTCAGGTTAGGTCTTATTTTCGGGGGAACAGGGTAATGCATAAAAATACTTGAAAGAAACGATACCTGAAAATTTATCTGGAGAAAACTTCCATAACCAGGGCACAATCACAGAAAGGGAGTTTCTGCAATTATCACTAATATTAGTTTCTGATAATGGGGATATCTGGAGGAGAGCTTTCAGTGACAGATCTTAAGTTTTAGACAAGTCTAGATGAGGCAGCCAGTCTTTAGCAATAACACATTTTCACCTGGGACTTTCCTTATCCATTCTGTGAACTATTTTTTACTACTGTATTGCACAAATCCCTCTAACATGGCTTTCTTCAGTCAACTCACAAACCAATTAATCAACAACAAAAGCAAATTCTGATGCTCTATGCAAAACAGACACAGCAGTCAAAATATGATACTAGATCACTAGTGCAAACCATGTGGTCAAAATTAAATTCAAGACATTCCTGGATTCTCAGGATGTTAAATAGTACTGTTGCAATTTTACCACATTATAGAGAAGTGTTATTTTATTACAATGATTGATCTTAACAAAGGTTTAAAATAGAATTTAATTGTAATTGCATTGTGCATGTTATTCTGAATGCCTGAATGGCACAAAGGGGATTATGGCATTTTATAAATTGAGTTAGCTGGCATCCAAATAACACAGTGAGAGCTTAATTTGAAAAACAGGCCTTTGAAAACTTCCTCATACCAGAGCTCTGAGCACTTGTTTGTAAAACCTACTTCTAGGCACAATGACCCCCTGGGACACTATAATCTAAGGCATGGTTGACTTAACCTTTGAGTTATGGGCAGGTTCAGTCTCTACTGTAGCATAATTAATTACCTGGGACTTTCCCAGTATAAACTGTCTGCCTTTATTCTCTGCACTCTGAGATTTATTAAAATTCTCCGTAGCTCAGAATTTAGTAGCTGCATCTATATCACAAGTATTGGAAACAGTTACTATTAGATTCTCATGTAAAATGCCTGCAACTTGGCCAGCATGAAAAGCAGACTGTCAAGGCAGTACAAAAGCCACAAGGGACAAAATATTGAGAATGTGTGCAAGATTCAGCTTCAGAATGTGCCTTCTCAATGCTCACAGAAAAGAGAGGATGCTATCGACCTGATACATGTAAGATCTTAAGGTAAAGATAAAAGGTTCCCCTTGACAATTTGCCCAGTCGTGTCTGACTCTAGGGGGCGGTGCTCATCCCCATTTCCAAGCCAACGAGCCAGAGTTTGTCCCGAGACAGTTTCCATGGTCACGTGGCCAGCGCGAGTAGACACAGGAAGCCATTACTTTCCGACCGTAGTGGTACCTATTTATCTATTCGTATTTTTACATGCTTTTGAATTTTACATGCAGGCGTTGGGATGAGCAACGGGAGCTCACTCAGCCATGTGGATTCGAACTGCTGATCTTTCGACCTTGCAGCCCTGAGGATTTTGCGGTTTAACCCGGAGCACCACCACGTCTGGAGTGCAATAGTTTTTTTTGGGGGGGGGTGCAAGGGAAAACAGCCAAATATAGTACAGGAAAATATATTTTTAATTTTAAAAAAACTTTCTAAGACTTCCACAATATGGATATTCTTCTTCTTTTTTCCTCCTCTAGTTGGGTGAAGGTCTCTTGTTTTGAATCTCTCATGTCCTTCAAGTTGACCTTGTCCTTAAAGTGGAATCACCCAACACATGTCATGATAGGATGCACCACTCACTCCAGTAGCAAATATTAATTTTTGAGGTTCTGACATTACATTTGCCCTTGTTGGCAAATGGTGGCCAAAGCATCAAGAAATGTATCTTTAGAAAAATATCAAACAGATGTTGAAACAAACCAAGCACTGAAAAAAAAACATGAAACCAGCAACTGAAGCTGACAGATACAGTCGTCCCATCTGTTAATCTAGGTTTTCCAATACTACAGAAACTTGTGCCTTCCATCTCTCCTTTCCACAAGCTTGATAAAGAACCTAACACGCCAGTCCTAAACATCATACCTAAACCTCTGATTGGCAGAAGCTCTCACCTGACCCAGAAAGTAAATTCCTCCACCGACAATGAAAGCTGAAATCGCTGTCCCAATTACGGAAAACAGGGTGATGGAGCCTATGTTCTGAAAAAAATTCCCCTGAAAACAAAGGAGATGGGGAAAACAAACATTAAATTCTGACATAATTTAATGTGAAACAATTTAATTTGAGAGAGCTCATCTGGGAGCCCAGCCATAAAACTCATCATTGTTGGCCTCTGAACACAGGAAGAAATATCAAAGTAAAGCAGATTGGAGCAGTATGGAATGTACTTGTCTGCCAAGGAGTGAACATAGGTAAGATCATTTATCTGTAGGATGAACAGGACTTTTAAATCTAAGGACACCGATTTCCTGGCAGGTGAAGGTCTAAGCCATCTCCCCTTGTCAGCAATTAATTAAACTGCTGAACACTGTAAGTCTCAACTAACAGAGATTCACTGAATCAAAGGGATAAATACAAGTTTTGATTTACTATGTTCCACTATTCATAGGGTGGAACCCTATTGCTTACAAACACCAACCTAAGGGCAATGGTGCATCGTAACAGCAAAATGGAACTCTAGGGAGTGTTAGAAACAGTTTTGTAGTTTTCAATTAATTTAAATTAATTATTTCTGGTGCCCAGATCTAGTTTACACCAGCATAACTATGCCAACAAGATTTTGCTCATTCTCTTTTAAACTGATAGTTATTCTTTCTCAATATGCAAAAGATGAATATTATTATATTATATTATATTATATTATATTATATTATATTATATGAGACTCCTTTTTTCCAAAGGTTTCCCAGAGTTCAAACCTCAAGATGTTATATTAGCCTTTCTGTTTTTTTCTGTATTTTAGTATTCAGGATTAGGCTGTGATTTAAGGGCAACATTGGAATACTTATTAATATTTTAATTCAATTGGGAGTTTTGGTGCTTTGTCCCGAGTTACATTCTTAATAACCTTTTTTTCTCCTTTGAATTGCAAATAAAGAAGTATGGCAAATCGGTGACTTCTCCGTATACAGCAGATATATTAGATAACTGCAGCAGGATTTCAGAAAGCAAAATGCCTTCATCAATGTTTCCCTCTACAGTTTAATTACTTCATAGGCTAAGTCTTTCACTCTGAGATTTGTGAATGAACATGGACTGGGAGATAGTATATTGGATCTGGGAAACCTCAAATCTCAGCTGAACAATCAAGTAAGGCCAGCTGTAATATTCTTAACAGCAATTATGACTGGTTCAAGTCTCCAGTATTCCTTGATCTGCTGCTACACTTCTTTAATGGATGTGCTGGTACCCTATGGTGGCATGGACTGACCAACTGGCATTTAGTTGGCATTTAGGAATAGCCAAGCCTTCCATGAAAAGAGCCAGGCAGAACCAGATACCTCTTTGGTTCCTTGCAGCTCTGTGATCAAATCTTCAAATAATCTGTCACAAGCCACATTAGGTGACAGCAACATCAAGTGACTATTCTCTAAAACTGATCTGGTGGGTTGTGGGACCCTCCAGGTCATAGGTAGCTCAAGGACAGAAGGAGAGTTAATATCAGTGAAAACTGCCTTTTACTTCTGCTGGGAGCAGTGTCCATCAGTGACAATTCAGAGCCAGGCTGAATCAAACTGAGCCCTTGATTGAGCCCTTCTTCTAAGACGACCCAACGTTCTTTCATGAAATTACAGCATTAGAGCATGACATAAGTACACTAACCTGCAGTTGCAATAATATAAAACTGGGTGGCATATTCCTGAATGACTTCTACTTATTTCACATCAACTGGCATTAGAGCATTTCCCTACCCCTATACAGCTATGAAATATCTGTAATACTTCACCTTATGCAATGAATAACCAGATTCAAATATGATCGGTGGAAGTAAAAGAAGAAAAAACATATTGGGACGAAACATCTCTTCTTCCTGCAAAACGTAGCAAACAAAAAGATGAAGGGATTATGAAAAGTGTGAACAGAGGGAATACCACCACATCTGGAACAAACAAACAGTACTAAATCTAGCCTCTTTAAAGTGTCTGTCACTCTGCTGGTATATTTTAAGAAGCAAAAATACTAGCAAATGAAATTTATATTAATCCGCCTCATTTCCCACCACAAATAAAGAGGATTTCAAGATAGCAAACATCCTTGGGATTAAATTGTTTTCCACCCAATGGCTAAAAAAGGAAGCACTATCTGCACTGCCATATCCAAACAACCAGCATGGAAAACAAACTGTCGTGCCAACAAAACAACTCACTATAGCAATATTTCCTAGTCATGTTTCCCAACGACGAGTAGGACAATTTTTATATGAAATCACAGTTTCATTGTACTTGATTTTGACCATTCCACGTTCATGAAAGGTCTGTAGCATTCAGGGGTTGCTGCCCATCTGTGGAACTCCTTACAGGCCACACTACATGAAGAACATGACAGTCAAATTGCTGGAGAGGGATAAATTTGGGTAAATGCATTGGTGTGGCTCCTCGTAAGCTGCATTGGCTCTCCATGGAATGCAAGCCTTTTCTGAAGTGGTTCCCTAAATTATACAATTATAATCAGTTGGGGATACAGTTAGGGTTTTACCTTATGCGTACTTATATGTGTGAACTGTAATGAGGTATAAAGCAAGATGTCTTGCTGCTTGGTCTGAAATTGAAGATATCCCTTTCTCTGGCAAGTTACTAAAGACAGATTGGCCAATTCCCTGAAATATCTGGTGCACAAAGAATAGTTCTATACTGAAATCTTTGAAGGCTACCGAAGCCAGTCAGGAGGATGAGAAACCTCCAGGAAAAAGCTGCTTCCCTTTTGTTGCCCCGACCTCTCACCCTCAGGTCTATGAAGCACACAGTTCACAGTGGTGTAGTCCCTGTCAATGAGTACAGGCGTAATCATTCTAAGGAAGCATGGCTCTAAGGCTGCAATCTTATGCCCGTTTATCTAGGTGAAAGTCCTCTGAAGTCAATCAGGTTTATTTCTCAATACCGGTATGTATCTGTAGGATGTATAGTAAAGGAACAGAATGAAGAAATTAGAATAACTGGCAGAGCCCCGTTAAGAGACCAACATTAGGAAATGCTCACTACATCTTCAGAGACCATGTCCTACCCTTTCCCTTCTCCATTATCACTTCTGTTGTTCTGAACACATACAAAGCAAGGAGTCTGAACTCTACTATTTAAGGTGGTTCTTTATGTTAACTGGAAATTGACTTTTCAGGGTTCCTGTTGTTGAAGGAGTGAGAACTATGGAAGAAGCATCAATAATTTAAGATATGTAGATAATATATTACTGGCAGAAAGCAGTGATGTCTTGAAATGTCTGCTGATGAAGGTGAAAGAAGATGCAAAAACAACTGCAGCTAAACATTGGGTGTGTTGTGTGCCATCAAATCGGCAACAATTTATAGGCACTGTAACAGGACTTTCAAGGTAAGTGAAATATTTAGGGAGTGATTTTACCAGTCCTGCCCCTTCTGTCAGATCCAACAGGTTTCCTGAGTCCTAGTTCAGCACTCTAACCAGTACACATCACTGGATATCAGCTGAATATTAAGACAACAAAATCATGACTACAGAAGAAGAATTACATAACTTTAATCTCGAGAATAAAAAATTGAACATCTTAAAAATTTCTATACCTTGGATCAGCTATCAATTCAAATGGAGGCTGAAGCCAAATAAAAAGAAGATTGAGATTTAAAAGGGAAGCTATAAACTTGAAAACATGACCATACAAAGTTGTGCCACTGGAGACTAAAGCAAAGACTGTCAACATGACCATATTCCTAGTTACTGCATATGGATATGAAAGCTTTATAGTGAAGAAACCAGACAGGAAAAAAGTCAATTCATTTAAAATATGGTGCTGAAGGACAGTTTTATGGATACTACAGACCGCTAGTATGCATAAAGATAAACAAGTGGGTCCCAGATCAAATCAAGTCTGAACTCTCCCTAGAAACAAAAAGTGGTGCTGTTGCACTTTGGGCACATCATGAGAATATAAGACTTGATACAAAAGACAATAAGGCTAGGAAAAGTTGAAGACAGCAAGAAAAAACAAAGACCAAATACAAGATGGATTGATTCAATAAATGAAGCCATGGCCTCAAGTTGCAAGAGCTAGGCAGTGCTGTCAATGACAGGAGATTCTGGAGGTAACTCATTCATTAGGCACGCAGCAACAAAAAACACTCATCTGTAGATGAAGGAAGCTTTTCTGTTCAGGGTCCTTGTTGTTCAGGGTGAGGAAATCAGAGACAGAAAGGGGCAAGCCTGGAACAATCCCTTAAACACATGGTATTGCTTAGTATTAGTTAGCCTAAATACATCAGTGGTAGTCAGAACAATGTCAAGATTGAAGTGCTATGCATGAAGAACTTCTGTTAACACATCATGCAATGGTCACAATGAGAACTGTGCAACCAACTGAGTGATCAAGTTACCCAATTCCCTGCTGCCTCACCTGGCAAATTTTCATAGGATTCTGCACAAACAGGATTTCACCCATTGGGCCCCACAAGTCTCAAGATAATTGTATCTTCAGGATTAGTTTTTCACTCAAATAAGTAACCCCGGTGCACGATCCTACCAGAAACTGTCAATGGCCCAGTGATCAAGTTATTAAAGGAAGATAAGAAATAATATATTGAGCCAGATAGTTAATCCATAGTTAACATGTTGAGCAAATAAAATAACAGCTCTAGCATGGTGGAAAACTGTAATCATTACTGTGGAATTAGGGAGGCTGCAATAAGATATTCTGAAGTTCAGCCCTATGGCTCTAGACCAAATCTTCAAAGAAAGTTATTCGGTTTGAAGAATTCAGGCAATCTACAAGCTACATAGGAAGGAGAACAGTTACTTCATTGCCCTCTTGAAAACTGTAAATCTAAGATTTAATATAACTGATGAAGCTTAAAAGCTAATTTATTATTGGCATTGACAATTATCTATCTACTGAAGTGCTCAGTTCAGACAAATTGGTTTTAAACAGTCATTTGCTACACTTTTAGAGCATGCAATCCATTTTTAAAATTATACATGCTGGCTTCAGCAAAACCATTTTGTCAATTTCTCGTGGCTTTCTTTTCTCTATGACTTACCTTCACAAGTACAAAATTTATTCTTGAAATGACACAGGCCTGCAGATTTAAAGTGCTGACTTTAAAGGAAAACGTGATCTATTAAATAGTTCGTCAAGAATGCGTCCATAATTTCCTACTGCAGTTTTATCAAGCTTGTGAAATTATAATACAGTATATCTCTCAGAAGAACAGGGTATACTTAATGATTTGAATAACATTCCTACAAGTTTTCTTCTTTTTTAATTAACAGGAGCAATGTAGAATTGTATTTAAACACCAATGAGAGGACATACAGCTAGCCCGTGGACTGTGAGTTTTTTGTGCTAAAAGTACAAAAACCCTTTTACTATCATGTAAGACATATGGGGTGGACGAAGTGACAACTGCAATGGACCATCCAAGGCAGCTGCTCCCAACTATTCCCTAACATACCTTAAACGTTCAACATTCTTTTTTGATATAATGGAAGATAGTCATGTAACAGCTCGAGGTTACATACCATAATTAAGCCAGGCAGGGCTGTCAATGACAGGAGATTCTAGAGGTAATTCATCAATGCCTGGAGATGAGTGTTGCTGTTGCTACAACACTAAATAAAAGGTTGTTTTTCCGTATTGTTATCTTTTCCATTTTATATTTCATTTTTAATATTTGGTCTTAACTTTCAGAACAGCACAGGAAAGGATACAAATCTGAAAAAATCAACCAAGTAAATGAGAACCACTGCTGGGATAATCCCAATTTTGTATCCTGAGATCCTGATCCTAAGACTCAATGGTAGAGCTACATCGCAAATACTGCAATGTGAACTGTTGTTATTCTGGCCTATCTTCGTGTGCAAAGTGCATAACTTTTTAATTAGGTGTAATGGGAGTCACATCTGCTATTAACTGCCTGCAACAAAAGAATTGCACAATTATCAAGAGAAATATTGAGTTATCTACCACTGTTATCATTCCCTAGGGAAAAGAAGCAACTTTATTAAATTCATTCTTGCCATACTCTGTTAGGAAGGAAATGACAACAATAAGAGGATGTCATCATTTTCTCTAGTTCCAAAATTCCAGGACAAGTTTGACAGCCACACTGCACCAAGCACACATGATAGGGCCTCTTTTACTTGCTCAAATGAAACACAAAGCACATAGTGGAGAGGGGGGAATGTTTAAAATGTTGGCATATACCTTCCAATTTGCTAGCTTTTGAGCTTCTATGATTTTTATAACTGCTCCCATGAGGATACCTGGAAGGAAGAAGAAACCACATGAAGCATCAAAAGCTTGTACTTATCAAAACACTGAGATCCTCAGCTTACTTAAAAGTGAATAATGCTAAGACGTTTATAATGCTACAAAACTATGATGAATGTAAAATACTGTACACTGTTGTTCACTCTATAGCTGCCAAATCTACTTCAATGAAATCTAGACAATAAAAACACATTATTTCATGCACCTAACCTAAAGATGTGAATGACAACATCACCTATATGTTCCATCTGGTACTAAATGGATACCAGCTATTCAAACTACAGTATTATTTTATGTTACCCTTCCTACATCTTCTGAACACAATTGCAATCTTTGCATCAACCTCTAACATCTTAGCTTGACCTGCCTCTCTTGGTGTCATTAGGTCACCTGCTGATATGTCATATCAGGAATATTTAAGCTGAAATCCCAATCCTTGCAGCTACCAGCTTAATCACTGTGATGCTACCAAAGATTGAGGCAGGCTAGAGCTAAACAAGCAACAGTTCCGGCCATTCAAGGCCTTGTTTTGAGTTTAGCGATCAGTTTGCAGCCTTTTTTAAAGCAAAAAATCGAGGCCATCCATGCCTTAACTCCAGCAGCAGCCTAGCTGATCTGCAAGTGACCTTCACTGTCCCATTGCCCAATTGGTTCAATTTGACCCTGTAGTAAAGGAGGAAGCCTACAGGTGATAGCTAGTTCTAGGCCCACCACCTCCTCACTGGATTCTTGCATGATATGGCTGATCAGAGTCACAAAGGAGGCTATGATTTTTGGGTATTTATATTTCAGAGGACCTCTCATGGTCTATAAATCCTAATATGCTGGTGAAGAAGGCACAGAGGAGGCCGTACTTCCTGAAGAGTGCTCAGGAAGATAAATCTACCTCAGCATTTAATTCTGTCCTACTATTGTAGTACCATAGAGAGAGTGGCCTAACATATGGCATCCTCTCATAGTATGGGAGTTGCTCTGAAATAGACAAAAAATTTTTTACAGAGAATTACTGCAATTGCCCAAAATATTATTGGACTTCAGCTTCCAACCTTGGACAACATCTTTGCATCTCACTGCCTGCTTATAACTTCTTTGAACTGTTGTCATCCGGCAGAAGATGCAGAGCAATTAAAACTCAGACAACACATTTTTGAACAGTTTTTATCCTAGAGCTATAACTGCACTTAACAAGAAACTTAAAAATCACCAGCAGTAAGATGTTGGACTGTATTACTATTACATAGTCTGTTGTGTTGTATGTTGTGTGGATTCTATGAGTTTTAGACAGGGTTCTGGGACTTAGGGATTGTTATGAGGGTGTGTGTGTGTTGGTCTGGTCTCTGAGTGTTCTTTGTGAATTTCGTTGTGTGTGTATACGGTGTATATACGTCCAATGACAATAAATTGTTTATGTTATGATTGATTGCATCGTGAACTTTATTAATTCATTACTGAGAGAGGGAATGCTTCCCTCCTGTTTAAAAGAAACCATTGTCCAACCCATCACCAAACACCCCCAGTTAATGTCAGACAACCTTAACAATTTCCATCCAATTGCTAACATACATTCCTAGGCAAGGTGATTGAGAGGGTGGTGGCAAATCAACTGCAATCATACCTGGAAGAGCATGACTGCCTTGACCTTGATTGCCTTCCAGTTTGGATTCAGAGGGTATTGAGATGACACAGGTTGCACTGCAGGATTACCTTTTAGGGGAGGCTGACAAGGCAGATGTACCTTGTTGGTACTCCCAGATCTGCCAGTGGGTTTTGATACCGTCAACCACAGTATCCTTTTGAACAGGCTCTCCGAGGTTGAGAATGGCGGCTTAGCATTGAGCTGGCTCCAATTCTTCCTTGAGGACCATGTCCCGAGAGTTCAGCTAAGGGAGGAGGTGTCGGCACCTTGGACCCTATGATATGGGGTTTCTCAGGGATCAGCACTATCCCCAATGCCGTTTAACATCTATGTTAAACCTCTGGGGTAGGTCATCAAGAGGTTTGCAGTAAATTATTTATTTGTTTGTTTGTTAAATTTATATCCCGCCCATTTAGACCACGTCTAGTGTGGGCAGCTTACAGTAAAAATATCATAAAACAATATCATAAAACAATTAAAACAACAATTTAAATCAGTAATATTAGTATAATTCAAGATGGAAAAATTATAGATGGAAATTAAAACAGAAAAGTAAAAATCAAGTATTGACAGGAGGGCAGGCCTGCCTAAAGAGCAAGGTGTCATCAGTATGCTGATGACACACAACTCTGTCTCTCCATTACCACCTCTGCAGTGGACGCTGTCTAGACACTCGTCTGTTGCCTGTTTGCAGTACTGGAATGGACGAGGGCTTAACAGGCTCAAAACTGAACCCGGACAAAACAAAGATTTTGCTCCTGTGAGGGACCTCTGATAGGTTAGGGTGGATGGTCCCTAGACTGGATGGTACTCCCCTCCAGTTTAGTGACCAAGTGTGTAATTTGGGCATTGTTCTGAACCCATTTCTAACATTCACATTCAGTTCCATTTCTGTACAGTGCCAATGATCAAAATGCACCATGAAAGGAGGACAGCCCCAAAAAAGAATGTAAAGGACACTGCAAGTTTTTATTTCAACATAAAAAGGTGTTTATTAGGGGCTATTTTTTATTCCTGCATAGGAAAACAAGGTTCAAAAACTATAAGAGAGAGCTCTAAGGGGTATTTTTAAATAGACAGATGTTATTCTGATCTACAGAAGCAACATCACATAAGATGCTTCATGTGAATTCCTTATAAGGTTGATTGCTTGAAAAGCTGAAACTTATTTTTCTTCACACACGCAAACTCAAAGGGTCAGTTGAGAGTCAATCCAAAAATACAGCAACAATACACAGCAAAGCAGATGTTCCAAAACAGGAACTGAAACTCTGTAATGCAGTGTGAAAAGCCACTACTACTGGTGGAAACCTTGAGGGGTGAGGGTAGGAAAGCAGCATTAAATGCAAACATTTCTTCCCTTAGTTTTTAACATACTAAGATAAGAGGAAGTCAAAGTTAACCACTTATAATTACCAGTAAAGCAACACAAGACATAGGAGCTGCCTCTTTCTAAATCCAGCAAAGTCAATCTGTCACAAAACCAAATCGGAAACTTGGTACAGTCAGAAAGAATATAGTGATCACGAAACAATGAATGGGCATCGCCCTGGTGTTGCTGCTACAGTGATGATTCAGACACTGGGGAGCTTTATATCTTCATTCAGTCTTGGTCACAGTTAGCTCAGCAGTGGTCATACATGACCAACTGTTTCACTTTCCTTTCTCCCAGATCTTAGCTGGCCTATTCTTTACTACATGAATGGGCAACCTCTTGCCTGTAGGCTGAAATAAGCTTGACAGGCCCTACTTGAAGACTAGTCCTTTCCCAAAGCCTGTACTCCTCCAACAGAAGAAAGAGGAGCTGGTACTGCGAAGAAATGCCAAGAAGGAAAAGGGAAATTGGTATAAATGGAGCAGCCACTGGAAAGTCCTTAAAGGATCTTGCAGTGGAGATTCCTAAAATTCAGCTCAGTCATTGATTAAAAGAATTCCCAGATCTTGAGGCAGTGACTTAGTAAACATTGCTAACACCTGCTTTTTCCCAGCAAGACAGAACTGCAAAAACAACCATCTGGCATATTCTTCCTGCTTTCTAAGTATTATCCATGGAAAAGAAATTCTTCTTCTGGATCACTGGCTTAAATGGGTAACCTTTCTTTCTGATCTGTTATATTTAATTGATTCTTAAATATCTTACATGAGAATGGATGAAGTTTCTTAGCCATCAGTAGATGACAGAAAACAATTCAACAGAATAGCCATCCCCAGCATAGCCTCCTGAGATGTTTTGGGAAATTACAATTCCCACCTTGCCCAGATAAGAAGACCACACCAGATTTTACTTTACCCTTTCCTCATCCTGGCTGGAAAACTCTTTTCCAGAAATAGAAACAGAATGATCCATTCCAAAGTATGCTCTAGGCATGATTTTTGCACTGAATGAACTGTAGAAAATGTTGTAACAAGTCCAACCACTTCAAACTTTAATAGTGCCAATTTTTGGTAACTGTTCATAATTAATGTTTTTACTTCATGAACAGATCCTATTTTAATCCTCCATGAATTATGTACTCATCTGTCACAAAGTACAACCATGCAAGCCATCTTCAGAGGTTCTGTCTCCACTGCAATAGTCTGAACTTCAGTATGTCTCAAATATGGAAGGAAATGGCTTGAAAACAAATTGGAATTCCCAAAGAAGATTTAGATTCTACCAAGAAACGGTACACAAAATTACAAAAATCAACCTGTTTTTAGAACATTAAAATGAATAAATCCTTTTCGCCCAAATGAATAAACTCTTTTCATGTTAAAAACATCCCCAGCCATGAGGTGGATAGGGGTGTTTTAAATGCTGGTAGTACCCTGTTTCCCCGAAAATAACCTGAAAATAAACCCTAGTATGATTTTTCAGGATGCTTGTAATATAAGCCCTACTCCAAAAATAAGCCCAGGTGAAGTGAAAACCCACCCTTCACCATTCTGCAGCAACCAGAAGAAGATGGCAGGACTGTATTTGAATAAATGTAGATTGTTGCACATGAAAAAATAAAACATCCCCTGAAAATAAGCCCTAATGCGTTTTGGGAGCCAAAATTAATATAAGACTCTGTCTTATTTTAGGGGAAACATGGTAAGTAGAAATGCCACGAAAACTCATAAAAAGCCTTTAGGGCCCACCTGAAAGGAGGAGTGAACACCAGACATCCCTGAATTCTTCTCCAGCTTATAGGTTTTTTTGGTGATATTTCTTCCAGCTTAAATCACCACAGACCTCAAACTGGCTGGAGAGGGAGGGGAATGTAAGGAAATCAATAGTGCTCCCTATCTTTAAAAAATCCTTTACCCCATGGATCCTAAGAACACAGCAGACAGGAAGCTGTCTTGTATCAGATCAGAGTGTTTGACTATGTAGCCCAGCAGAGACTACTCTCCAGTGGCAGGAGCTTTGGGGCCATTTTTTCCTTCATCACTTGCTGCCAAACCCTATTAGGTTGGGGATGTTATAAGCTAAAATCTCAGGCTTCCTGCGTATAAAGCATGTGCTCCTCCTTTGAGCTACGATCCCTGGACTATCTTATCCTCCTCCATCCATTTTCAAAGTTGTAGCCTCTTCAGTATCTTCACTGGAACCGTGGGTGAGATCACACAGGCATATAGCTTGCATTTTGGACTGTTTGTTGTGCACTCAGGTGCAAATTAATTCTCAGTCATCACATGACAGCAGCAACAGTCCAGCTGAACCACAATTCATGCCCAAGCTGGATCTTTTGGGTTCAGCAAGCAGCCTCAGGGATGGAGACTTGTTGCAGGACTCACTGTCAAATCGGACTTAAGTTGCACCATTGACTCATCTCGGACTTGATTCAGGTTGGGGTTTTTTTTTTCAAACTTTTTTTTTGTTCAAACCTGACTTGCAGTTTGGAAACTACCCATCCCTCCTTTTTTCTGGGGGAAAAAGCTTTTTTTTAATAGGGACTTGGGTGTGGGACAGGGTACCAAAGACCCAGACTTGGACCCAGCGTCATGCCAATATCCCTGGTTAGAGTTACTGGTTTTTTGAGTGATACCTCAATGGAAGAAAAAGCTAATCCATCCTGGCAAAGCACCTTTCACCTTTCTGGTGCAATCAAACATGCACCTTTCTCATCATCTAATCACACCCTTAGTATCTTTTTGGGGGGGAGGACTCATCTACTTACCAACTTGGGGAAAAGAAGCTAGCTTTACCTCTGAAAATCTCATGCAAGACATAAAAAACCTCCCATACTGTCACATTGCAGATTGTTGCAAGATCCATCCACAAATTAGCTTTGAAATGCAAAAACTTATGAGATTAATATCTAACAGTAGAAGCCTACAGAGGATTGACTACTGAGAAATAAATCTCATTCTTTTCAGGAAACATACAGGATGAGAATACAGCCTTGTCAGTGTAATATGTCCATTATTTTATTAAAGCGGGGTTTCCTGTATTTGCCTTTTCCAATACTGTAATAGAACCTCTTAACACGGACATAAAATGCTTCTAGTTGGACCTACCACGATGATTAGAAAACTGCAATTTTGCTGTATTTAACAATAAAATAAAATAAATAAAATAGCATCCTCAAAAATGCCTGTATTATCTTGCATGTTACCCAGTTGTTAACAGTTTTCAGAAATGAGACACAGCACTACACAGAAATGTGGGAAACAGCTTGTAAATCAGTGATGCAAATAAGAAAAGGACACTTGACAAAGCTACCTTAAGTGCAGAATGAATTTCACACTTGGCACAGAGTTCATAATACCCCTTATCATTAAAAAGATTGTTAGGTTATGAAATCGCAGTTCCAGTAAGACATGACTAAAGAAAAAGAACTATGTGGGTGGTTTTCCCCAACATGTAGAATCTTTGAAGCCATGGTTCAGTTGGCAAAACACTAAGTATTGCAAAATACGAAAGTAAATGATAAATGCTTGGCAGCAATGCAATGAGTGCACTCAATGAGAACTTAATAATCCTGTTGAAGATACTTCCAGGAAATTTCATGCAAATGAAACTTAGGAAAACACAGAAAACGTATATGCTCTTAAACTAGGGAGACATGACTGTGCTAGCACATAATCAAACTTAGTTGCTTTCATTTTATGCTCTATATGTCAATCTATCAACATATACTTTCTACAAAATATGCTGCAAGTAACCTTACGAACATGTCTTCTGTGAGGCTAAAATTCCATGAAACATACTTATTCATATTTGGGGGGGGGGCGGTTATCAAATAGACCAATATTGTTTGCACCCCTCTTCTTAACCCTCATTTTTCCCTCCTAAAACCCCTAACCCATAATTGGTTAAAAAGCATGGGTACAAAGAGAAACCTAAACAACACATCACATTCTTTGAATCATAGAGCCATGGAGTTGAAAGCAGCCTATAAGTCCACAGAGTCCAAGCCCCTGCTCAATGCAGGCATCCAAATCAAAGTATATCTGACAGACAGCAATGAGCGGTGGGTTGGACTCAACTCTGCTTTGAAGGGCAGTCATTCTAAAATCAGTAATATTGCACCACCAGCACACACAACTAATGGTTAAGCATAATTCAACTGAACCTTTCAAGCTTATGAGAAATGCCTAGAGTTTGATCTGGATTTAAAGTGGGATCCTCTTACCCTCAAGTGACATAGTCCTTGTAACACTATAGTGAAGATGTTTTAATCTAGCAGTAGCTCTAAGATTTTAAGCTACAAGACTTATACTTCCAGAGCAAGCTTTGTACATATCCCCTTAAGCAAGCTCTTGTATATCTTTTTAGGCACAGATTAATTCTAGTGTAAGATGTGGTTGTTCCATCAAAGATTGAACTGAGCTTTTAAGGTACCAAAAATTCTTAGGCAGTGCTGGTTTTCGTAAAGAAGTATATTTCAGCTTTAAAGAATCCTCAGTACTTCTTGGGAGGCCTGGGTCTTTGTGGGAGGTACAGTGTTTTGGAGGATCCCTCTAGTAAAGCCTATCAGACAGGGAAACTACATTAAGACTTTGGCTTCCCAAGCCATGTCAAAGACAGATCTTGCTCCAGGTGAAAGAAAGATATGCGTGTAGCAGTACATGTCTGTAGGCTTATACAGTGGTGCCTCGCTTAACGATTACCTCGTTAAACGACAAAACTGCTTGACAATGAGGTTTTTGCGATCGCTTTTGCAATCACAAAACGATGTTTTAATGGGCAAAATTCGCTTCCCGACGATTGGTTCCCTGCTTCGGGAACCGATTCTTCACATTACGAGGACCAAAACAGCTGATTGTCGGGTTTCAAAATGGCCACCCACTGTGTAAAATGGCTCCCCGCTGAGCTTTAGGATGGATTTTTTGCTGCATAGGCATTGGAAAATCGCCGCCCTATGGAGGATCTTCACTGGACACTGAGGTATTTAGCCCATTGAAATGTACTGAGCAGTTTTCAATGCGTTTCAATTGGCTTTTTTTATTTCGCTTGACGAGGATTTCGCTCTACAGCGATTTTGCTGGATTACTCGTCAAGCGAGGCACCACTGTACACTCACATTTCGCTTGACGAGGATTTCGCTCTACAGCAGTTTTGCTGGATTACTCTTGTCAAGCGAGGCACCACTGTACACTCACACGCTCTGCTGCTCCTCTTTTTGTTTTCAATTATTCTTGGTTTAGCATCAAGGAAACAAACTACTGTACCTTGGGGTTTTTTTCTCTCAAAATTTGATAAAAATTAGCTCCATTCATCTGGCATTTAGACATACCTCAAACATAGATACAGTTTTCACGGAACTATGGTTTTTTGGAATTGGAACTGAGGTACATTTCATATAATGAACCATAATTTGAGGGTTGCATCTATTTACTGGTGACAGATATGTCTATTATTTATTTAAATATTCTTTCCTCATGCTAAGTCCTCCTGTCTTCCATTATGATAGTCTTTTTTTACTATTTACTATCATTTGCCACACTTCAGAAATTATTGGTCCCACTTCTGGAGACAGTTGTATCATCCATCCTCATTCTTATCATTCCAAACATCTTTAAGAACTGTTTGACTAAATTGTATTTCTGCCAACAACTCACACTTAACCTCAGTGCAGCTGCCTGCAGACAAATGCAAAAGCTACATTGCTTCTCCTTTCAAAAGAGAAAGAAGCAATGGAAATAGGTCAGCTGTTGCCACAGGACACTATTAAATGGAAAGGAAAGTGCTCTCCATGAATAAGGGAACCTGAGGGGAAAAACATCATGAGCTCTTCACACCAGAGATTCATAACTTTATCACAGTACGATTTGTTTATGAGAATTGTGTGTGTGTGCCAGTAAATACTGGTTTCCTTTTTAGTCTGTTTTTAATGACCTATTTCATCAAATTTTACACTTGCCATTCAATTTTCCAGAGTTCCTCACATATTCATGGGTAACTACCTCATTATTTTTGACACAACACACTTTAAGACAGAAGTCCAGAAAAAGATGGATCTGGGCCTGTTTTTCTGTTTGTGGTACAGTACACCCAAACTAGAAGTAAGCAACCTGATATCGTCCAAGCATAATTTCCATAATTCTTAACCATCACCCATGCCATTTGGAGCTGGTAAGAGTTGTTCTTTGTAATATTTTAAGGGGTCCAAAATTGTCCACTCTTGTCATAACACAACAGGGCATGGAGAGGAGAAACTCCTCCCCACAAGTTTAATTAGCTCTTGTGTAGCACAGGACCAGGAGAACATGGCAGCTCACACCAACAAAATCTTCTCCCTCCAACCTCACTGAAAAACAGATCAGCAGCCTTTCACAATGTCAGCTGTTTATTAAGCAAAGCAAGAAGGGGTCCAGGAAATCCTTCACCCATCATGCCTTGATAACTTCTTAGAGAAAATGCAGGTTGTAAACGCAAAGAATGAAGAATAGATTGAGATAAAACTGGAAAGAATTATCAGAAACTGTGCTTTATCTGAACAATTAGAACAAATACAATACAGTTCATTTTCATATTATTATGTGTACTCACCTAAAGAAACAACAGCAACACTCTCTGGCAAGAAGTGCAGTCTGTACCTTATCAATAGATGCACCAATATGATGCAGATAGCTGGAGTGAAAATAAAACAAAAATAAAACTTTTAACTACAAAATAACACACGATAAAAGAGAGTAGTAAATTATTCTTTGAATTTATAAATAAGTACAAAAGAAAACCAAAAGGGCCAAATATTGCAAAGAACAAACCAATCAGCTAAAAAATAAATGGTAGCTCTCAAGTTGTATGTGCTTGACCTTTTTAAAAGATAACATTCTTTCAGAATATCTGTGAAGATTCTCAGTCATCCAGGTGAGGTTATCTGGAAGTTCAGTTATGGCAACTGGCCTATTTCAACTATTAGGCTGAAACGCTTCACTCCTCATCCAAGCAGCTTCTTCAGTCTGAGGAGTGTTGGTAGGAGATCCACATTGGATATATCCTTTCAGAATGGTGTGGAAGGACTACTGGTGCCTTCAACCTAACAAACTGAACATGATATTTGACAACAGGCCTTTCTTGTCCCCACTTCCTATTGTAAGTCCTAATGCACTCAGAAAGCCATTTCTGGAGACCTTCCAGAATTATGTGCAACTTGGTAGAGGGAGCTTTGGGGTATGAGGGAGGAATGAGCCACACATCTACATCACATGTGTGAGTAGCTGCTCCTCCCACTTACATAAGCTGTCCCAGGTATTGTAATATCAATATGTAACATGTCTTTCTCTTTAATGGATAACCTTGAAAGGAACCTCATGTGTTCCCTGTAATTAATTAGCCTTATAAATGTAGTCTGTTTCACCCTCTATCTCCACACCCTCCCTTGGATGGTGCGAAGCTACGAGCAAAGCAGAACCTTTTGAGTTTGCCTACTTATCGGTGTTACAGTACCTTGACTGCTGTTGCTTATTTTGCTCAATATATGGTATGTAATATGTTTTAGATGTTATGTTTGTTTATTAGGAATTCCTGTATACCTTTTCCCTAAGAGACTTTGATAAAGTATATTTTGAACAACTTATCTCAGTGTCTTGCAACCTCCTTTAATATATTTTTCAACACCAGGGTCCAAACTTAATTTGCAAGCAGTTGAAGATGCATAAACCCTATGAAAGCAATTGACTCTCACATTTTCTGTTAAGATTTCTGTAATACTGCAACTTACAGTGGACCCTCTACTTAAGGAATTCATCCGTATTGGAACGGTGGCTGTAAGTCGAAAAGTCTGTAGGTCGAATCTCCATTGACCTACAATGCATTGAAAATGATTAATCCCACAACTGGCAGTTTTTATTCTATTTTTGTTCCATTTTGGTTTTTTTCTGGTCTGTAGGTCGATTCTCCGGCTGCAAGTCGAACCTAAATTTTGCAGCCAGAGAAGTCTGTAACTCGAAAAGTCTGTAAGTCGAGCCGTCTATAAGTCGAGGGTCCACTGTGTTCTGTTCTGTTTTAATAAACTTGGCCTGCACAAGATTGCTTCTATATAACACTTTATACTTGGAAATAGCTCTAATGCAAGGAAAATGAGAACTGATCTGAAAGGATATAAAGAATATAGCTAGTGATGGGTTATTTTCTGAAACAATTTCCTTTGATGCACTCTTGCATAGACAAAAAAAAAAAAACCCAGAAGATTCAGTTCAGAGGCAAAGTTGCCTTTCAAACCTACTTCCAGAATTTTTTGTCTTTTAACTCTGAAGTCAATTTAGTCTTCATTTCATCCTTCTCGGAGGGCTGAATAGCTCAGTGAGTCAAGTATGGGAGCTGGATTCCCATTGTGCTTTCTAGAACAGCCAGCCTATGTAACCTTGGACATGCTGCACAGTCCTAGAATACACCCTCAAAGAAACTGATAAACGACTGCTGAGTATTCTATACTTAGAAAACCCTGAAAGGGGTCAGTGTAAAGTGACTTGGCAGCACACAATTATTATTATTCATCCCCCCGGTTACATTTTTTCCAGTCAACAAGCACCAAAACTGATAAGGATCTTGGTTCAATCTAAGGCATGAAGCAGATTAACTTTGACAGTCTCAGTGAAAAGATGTTCAGGTATGAAAAGCAGAGGGACAACGTGTCATTGTACAGAGACATCCATAACTGTCCCGAGACGGGTTATCAGTTACATAAGCAAGTATAGCACAACTTTGATAACACACTGATCTATATCTACCCAACGGAAAAGGAAAACAACAAAAACTACAATTTGCTGACATAAACTAGTGAAATTGTAGAACCTTTCCTGCTGGGGTGACTGTTCTTTCTATAGACTGAACACAGTCTTCTATTTGAGGGGTTATCCAGTTTAGGAACAATTTGAAAACAAAAAAAATCTAAGAATGGAAACCAGGAGTTTTAAATTGCCATCAACAGTTAACACAGGGATAGCAGATTAAACAAGCACATAGATGATCACCTGGTCATAATTTCTTCCACTATGGGGAGATCTATTTGTTAAAATTGTACTGATAATTTCCACATATGCTTTTAATGTAAGTCAACAAACTCAAACGTTACACGGATATTTATCCTACGCTGATCCCCCTTTTAATTATGTATTTACTCTTTACTGGAAATGGATAAATAGCCACCCTAGGTCCCTACTCAAGAAATTACACTTTTTACACTGATTTATAATGACAATTGTACGACAATGCTAAACAAGAATATTTCAATCCATGTTCAGATTTCATGAGCTACCATTAGCATTACGTCCTTTTACAAATAAATGTTTTGTACAGGGTTACAGACTAATTTAAAAGGGAAATTGATAAAAGGTTCTGTAGCAACTTAAAATAACACGCCATCTATTACATGGAGTTTTCATAGTTAAGGCATGCATTAAATACATGAGAAAACTGCAGGTCTAGTTATTTATACAATTTAGACAAGAACTTGGTTCAAACACGATACAACCACACTTTGGCACTGCAGAAATAAGCCCTGTAAATAAATGCTCATGCCTTTGCCCCTTCACATTATATGCTTAAATTAATTACTTATGCTTCAACAGAAATCAAAATTTGCCATTACATCTGAAAAAGCATAGTATATCTGTTCTTTTCCTCAAACTACAATTGCAAACCACGGTTTGAAGCTGGCTTGCAATATCAATTTAGAAGACCAAATGATACCTACTTGGACATAGTGGGAAACTATGATTTTCATGGTATAAGTAATACTTAATAGGTCATAGGAAGAAATAACACAGAAAGTGGGCAATGTAGACTACTGCCTGTTTATAATAGAATCAACACACAACAAGACCTAGTAGATCTGGGTCTAGAACTGGTCAAACCCTCCAGTTAGCTGAGATAGATAGCATGGAATCAAAACTAGGAACTATAAATAACTAAGAATCATAAACAAGAAGCCTACCAGGAAACTGCACTAACCAGTCCTCTTTCTTTTGTATAAATATTTGCAATAAAATAGAAACTTGTATACTTTTAGCTTGAGTTTGTTCATATTCAAGAGCTAATTCCTCCACTCAACCACCAGGAAAAAAACTAACAAATATGTACAACTCTTTTGCCTCAGATCCTAATCTTGCTTTGTTCATTATATGCACATATAGCTATTGGGTTGTCCACTTTCCATCGTCCCTTGCCAATAGCCATGCAGATTGAGAATGACAGTAAGTGCTGTAAAGAACATCCAGAGGACTCCAAGCAGGTTGTCTACCAATGCTATTATTGTTACAATCATCTGACTTCTTGAGGGTCTTGTGGTTACACAAAATTAGAGGTTAATCATAGGTTTATGACTGCAAGATTACTAGCTGTCCTGTACTTGAAGAAACAGTCCCATCAGTTCAATAATAGGCACAATGTTGTTGATAATTAAATGTTGCAAGCCTCCATTTTCCATATACTGTAAAGGAAAACAGATTGAAGTTTACTGGAAATATCATAGTGTTTGATAGTATGGGTAATTTCAGGGGTCAAGGAAAAGGTTTCCAAAGTAATTGTCAAGAATGATTTTATGTTTCAACTGTTTTATAGCTATAACTTGCATATAAAAAAGAGTTCTGTCTTAAATAACGGTAGATGAAACATAATATTTTAAAATGTCTTTGCCATTTTCTTTTGGGATAATGTTGTCATAAAGTTTTATGTTTATGTCATATTTATGAATGTTTGGTACATTTAAAATAACTACCTCAGTCTGGGAGTTACAATGTCTTACATACTAGCCAACAGGCACATAGCAGACCAGTTACATAATGTTTATCAAAGAATCAACATTTTTTAAGCAGCAAAAAACAAACCTGAAACTCTTTTCCTTTAAAGGACTGTTCTAAGGTGGCAACATATATTTGCATTTTGAGGACTGCAAGTTTCCTTCCCTTCACCACTACTGAACAAAAGGTTCTCTCTGGCTTCGCCTTCAATCAGCCCGAACTCAACTACACTCATCAAAAACAAATGTACATAGAAAATAAATCCAAATTATTTCAAAGGAGCTTCAATTCCAAGTAAAAGTTATTCATGATTTCAGTCTGCAGGATTTTGACATACTTCTATGATAAATATGACTAATATCCACCCCATAAAGGCATTTGCTGAATTAAACATACTGTATGTTTGTATATAGAGGGACGTGGTGGCGCTGCGGGCTAAACCGCAGAAGCCTTTGTGTGCTGCAGGGTCAGAAGACCAGCAGTTGTAAGATCGAATCCACGCAACAGAGTGAGCTCCCGTCGCTTTGTCCCAGCTCCTCGCCAACCTAGCAGTTCGTTCGTTCGTTCGTTTAGTCATTTAGTCGTGTCCGACTCTTCGTGACCCCATGGACCAGAGCACGCCAGGCCCTCCTATCTTCTACTGCCTCCCAGAGTTGTGTCAAATTCATGTTTGTTGCTTCGCAGACACTGTCCAGCCATCTCATCCTCGGTCGTCCCCTTCTCCTCTTGCCATCACACTTTCCCAACATCAGGGTCTTTTCCAGGGAGTCTTTTCTTCTCATTAGATGGCCAAAGTACTGGAGCCTCAGCTTCAGGATCTGTCCTTCCAGTGAGCACTCAGGGTTGATTTTCTTTAGAATTGATAGGTTTGTTCTCCTTGCAGTCCAG